AAAACGGTTTGAGGGTGCAAATGCGCTTGGGGGGGAAAACAGTCCGGATTTTGACTAGGAGCCGCTCCAAATGCACCGTTTTTTAAACTCGAAGCCTCTGGAAAAGCACTAAGCCAAGTCTAAGCCTTGGCTTGGGTTCTTTCAAACGAAGCCTAAACCAGCTTGCGCAAAGCTAAGCTTGGTGGTCTAAGCGCAGTCCTAAATTACCCCATTTTGACCACCTAAGGCAATTTAAAGCTCAATTTAAGCTTAACTTGGGCTTAAGCTTAAGCCTAACCCAAGTTAAGCTTAGTTAAAGCTAGAGTTAAGCCTGTGCTTAAGCAGCAAACCAAGTAACTAAGCTGGGCGTCATGTAACCCCTTACAACCAATTTCGGACTGCCCCCCTAACTGTATTAGCACCGTTTCCAGATCATGAGCCGCATCTCCTACCTCGAGCACCCGCGTCTCCAAGGATGCCCTATTACCGTGGGTTCATGCCGAGGAGGGAGTGCGAAGCTATTCGAGAATCCGGCTTTTCGCTGCGGCGGCGTCTTTCTAGGTTCGAGCCCGAGTTTGCCGCTTATAACCGGCCCTTTTCAGTGCGACAAAGCGTGCACGAGCGCAAGTACATCTACGTCATCATCTGTCGTGGTTTGACGAAGGCCCTCTATCACCACGCAAAATCTGCTGCAGTGATGCTAGCTGCTCATCGTTTTCCCGTTAATCGCCTCTTGCTTGTTGTAGAAATTCCGATACTGGGTGACGGATTGGAGCTTTCAAAGTATCCCGGCTCTGATCCAGTACCACGTCGACATGGGGTAGGTGCAGCCAGAATCAACTATAATAAAAAGAATAGTGGTGTCCGTCCGTCTGTGTGTGTGTCTGAAGCCGAATTCAACTCGAAGGGAAAAGGAGCTCGAGCTTAGCTCTCTTCAGGTTCGGATAGAGCGTACTCAGAAACCTCCAAACTGATAAAAAAATTATGAAAAAGTTTTAGTTTAAATTATTAAAATTAACTTTGAAAGTTTTTCCTTAGTAAAAGGGGTGGGGGACGGAGGTTGGGGTGATTTTGGACATAGTGAGCCAGGTAGCGCGCGTTTCGTGGATGAAAATTTTCACGGGGGATTTCATTTCTTTTTTTCTCTCATTCTATCCGGTCGGTCGTTATTTTTGTTTTTTTAAGGGGATTTCGGCTAGGGGAGGTATCTTAAACCATCGGGAAGGTATTTAGGTAGTTTTTGAAGGGGATTTCAGCCATGGGGGGTATCTGAAGCCATCGGGAAGGTATTTAGGTAGTTTTTGAAGGGGATTTCAGCCATGGGGGGTATCTGAAGCCATCGGGAAGGTATTTAGGTAGTTTTTTTGAAGAGGATTTCAGCCATGGGGGGTATCTGAAGCCATCAGGAAGGTATTTAGGTAGTTTTTGAAGGGGATTTCAGCCATGGGGGGTATCTGAAGCCATCAGGAAGGTATTTAGGTAGTTTTTGAAGGGGATTTCAGCCATGGGGGGTATCTGAAGCCATCAGGAAGGTATTTAGGTAGTTTTTGAAGGGGATTTCAGCCATGGGGGTATCTGAAGCCATCAGGAAGGTATTTAGGTAGTTTTTGAAGGGATTTCAGCCATGGGGGTATCTGAAGCCATCAGGAAGGTATTTAGGTAGTTTTTGAGGGGGATTTCGGCTATGGTGGGTATCTTAAGCCATCAGGAAGGTATCTAAGTTTTGGAGAGGGTTTGCTATAGGAGTATCCGAAGCGATCAGCGTGGGTATTGATGGAGGTAGGGAGGTATGTGGTGGTGTAGAATATGGAGGGTAGCCCGAAGGCCAGCCGATTACAGTCGCGAAGCGGCTGTAATCGGCTGGTTACATATAAAAAACCCCTTTTTTCTAGTGATCCGGTGTGTACGGAGGGCTACTACATCCGATACCACGCGAAGAAGTCGAGCTGGCAACTCGACCACTCGCAGATCATGTGCACGCGGCAGCTGGGCGCCGGGAATTTCGGATGTGTCTACGAGGCCCTCTACCAGTATGATCCCTACAAAAAGCCGGTAGGATAATTTGGTTTTCTTGAGAAACGTCTATAACGAAGCCTAAATAGAGCTAAAATAAGCTGTGGATTTTTCTATAGCAACCCTGCGCGGTGAAGACGCTTTTCGGCGAGAATATGGATGCGCTACAGCGGAGTGAATTCTATTCGGAAGCTAATCAGATGAAGGAGCTCAACCACGTGGGAAAATTTTGCACCTGAAATACCGACTTTTTTAGCCGAATGTAGTCGCCTTCTACGGCGTGGCGACGACGGACGAGCCGATGCTGCTCGTCATGGAGCTCGTCGGCGCCAGTTTACAGGGAAAAATCGAGAAAGAAGAGGTGAGAAAATACATTTTTGAACCCGAAAATCTCTAGCAAACCGAGATCGTGCGACTGAACTGGATCTACGACGCGGCGAAGGGGATGCAGTGTTTGGAGGAGCATGGTGTGCTTCATCGGTCGGTTTTTTGATCAAAAAGCCTAATTATTAGTTCTTTTTTGGGTTGCTTATTTCTATTTGAAGTGGAAAACTAGTAGAAACGGCTAAAAATTTTGAGATTTTGGTGGAAAAATCGATTTTTTTACAGCTTTTTTTTTAGTTTTGTGCTTTAGGATAAGTTAAAAAAATGCGGATTTCCCTGGAATACTAAAGAACGCTTTTGGCTACGGTTTACTTTACCCCCCCCCCCCAGCCGAACGGTTTTCGCTATAACTTTTTTATTTTACATTATTGTAGGCTCAAATTAAAACTCTTAGTATATTTTTCGACGCTCTATCGAATGGCGTTGCGAAAATCCCGACAAAATAAGCGAAAATACCGACAACTTTGAGACCCTTCGGCTGTGGGGGGGGGGGGGGTAAAGTAAACTCTTACCACGCTTTTTAGCGACGTGGCAGCCCGAAATTTCCTGCTCGACCGCGAGGGCGTCCACGTGAAGGTATCCGATTTTGGGCTGTCGATGGCCCGCGGTGCCAAGGTGGACCCCAAGAAGAACGCCTTGCCGTTGAGGTTTATCGATTTTCTGTATTCTCGAACCCCTGTTGAGATATTGGCCACCGGAAGTGCTGAAAAGCTACAGCAAAGCGCAGCCGCACTTTGACCACAAGGCTGACGTCTGGAGCTTTGGCGTCATGGTCACTGAGGTCAGGAATTGAAGCCTCCAAGCCCTGAAAATCTATGTGTATTTTCAGCTGTACACCCGCGGGAAGCGCCCGTTCGAGATCCTCGAGGAGAAAAACCCGGACGTGCGCTTCCAGGCGCTGATCAAAAAGACGAAGAAGGATTGCTGGGTGCGGTTAAAAACTAACCCTATTTAAAGTTTAAATTTTCAACCAGATAGGTTTAGTTAAAAACTAAAAAATCTCGATTCGCTACAGAAAAACTACCCGCTGCTGATCCCGATGCGCGGCGACCTGGAGAAGATTGTGCATCGGTGTTTCGAATATGACCCCAAGGATCGGCCGACATTTGCCGAATTGGTCCAACTGCTCGCCGAGGTCCGCTTTTCTTATTAGGTGGTCTAAAAAACCGAACAAACCATTTTTCTCGCCTAAAAACCAAATATCTTTTTGGTCCTCTAAAACGTAATATCTATTTTTTGATTGCTTAGAAACAAAATTATGCTCAAAAACGCCGCTCAGCTCCCCGACGTCGTCGTTCATGTGCACGAGAAGCCAAAGAGCCTTCGCCGCCTAATTATCGACTGGTTCCTCGAATCCGACCCATAATTCCAGAATTAGCCTCTATTAAATTAAAAATATTAATACGTGTACTGCCATCTAATAAATGTCCTGACTTTTGTCGTTGTTAGAAATTTATCAATTGTTCAAATTGTCAAAAATAACACTATGGAGCTTTTGGTTGCGGGAAGGCACACGGCAAATCACAACATTTTGTGGAGGCGTGGTTAATGAATGAAGACACATATGCAGAGATCACAGACGCGACGGAATAATTGTCATTTTGGTGAGGGTTAGGAAAGAAGTTTTAAAAAAGAGCATTTCAAGAAAAAAGGAACAAAAAAATTATAAGTTGACGATTTTCGATAGTCCAACGAGGCTGGCCCCTGTTAGGGTGACAGCAATGGCGATGGCCATCGTCGTCAAGTTGCGTTGGCCCTGGAATAATTACAAAATTTACACAATTTATGGATCTTTGGCATTATCGGGGGGAGGGAGTGGGGTGCGAATTTTTGCTGTCTAGAAATGCACAGTAACGCAATATGAAGTTTTTAATACAGGGTGTCCCAAAACCCCCCCTCTAGAGGCCGTCAATCCGGATCGGATCGGAATGATTTTTATACCAATCGAAAGCTCTCGGAAAGGCGAGAAAACAAGCGGGTTTCGTTTTCTAAGATTTAATCTGATTCTATCAATATTTCAGGTTTTCCTAAAAAGCCGAGAATTTTTTATCAGGAATTTCGCAATTAGCATGCAGATCTCGCATAAATCAGCAGTTTTCATGGTTTTTGGACATAAAATTAGCAAATAAAAAGGCTTAATTAAGAAATTCAACCCTCCTTGTTTTCTCGCCTTTTCGAGAGCTTTCGATAGATACCTAAATCGTAAAAATCGGAATCGACTGCGGACCGCTAGGTAGGGGGGGGGGGGGGGTTTTGGGACACCCTGTAGTGTTCTTAGTAAAAGAACTATCTTCCGAGCAGAAAAACTATCTAAATAACTTCAAAACAAACTGCTTTAGAAAGGCCATTTTGTCGCAAAAAATCCATATTTATGCGTTTTTTTAATAAAATTTGGAGTTTTTACGTTTAGAAATAGTTAAAAAACACTTCCCCCTATTTAGATTAGAAAATTAGGCCCTAAGGAAAAAATCTGCTTGATCGAACCCACCTTGATTTCCCTGAAGTACAGAATGCTCCACAACGACGCGACGCAGCCGGGCAGGGTGGTGATGATCGGGAACGTGACAGCCTGAATACTAAAATTATAGAAAAACAATAAATCCACCTGTGACAGGTTGTCATTGGCGATGAAGAACGCTGACTGCGCGATGGCCCACATCAGTCCGCCGGCAAAAGAGGGCAGCGTGATTTCAGGGTTGATTATTGGCTTGTTTTTCCTGAAAATATGGATTGTAAAAGTACTTTTGCAATAGCGGGGGACTAATATGCCTAAATGTCGGCTAACTTCATAGTAAGGATCTTCATAGTGTTTTTAGTGAAATTTAACGACATTTCAAACGGCAAACTATTTAACAACTTCGAAATAAATTTTTCAGTAGAAATTTTTAGGTCGAAAATCAATTTCTTTTTGCTATTTTGAACCCAAACTTTGTAACGTTTTCACGGCTAGGAATATTAAAAACAGCTTGGAAACACTTCCCCTACTAATATTAGAAAAACTGATTCATAGGAAATAGTTCGTCCTCCTCTATACTGCGAAACTGAAGTAAAAAAACCTTCCCATACTCACTTGAAAATCGCGTATCCGAGAAACAGTGCAGTGCCAGAGATGAAGATTCCAAAATAGTGCGAGAACACGTAGCTCAGCCCGTCAACAGGAGCACCGGGGAACGCTTCCAGGTTGTCTTGCATGTAGATCACCGGCACGAATGTTAGCCCGTAGAAGCAGCCGGAGATGAGGGCCAGGACGATGCCGCTGAAATTCAAAACCGGATTAAATTTCAATTTTATAAAGGCTAATTGTAAAAAGAAGAAACTTACAGGCCACGGCCAGATGCCTTTCGCTTTGCCTCAACGCCTTCGATGGTCGTATCCGTTTTATCCTTTCCGCTTTCCTCATCGTCCGATCCATCGCCGACATTCAGTTTCTCGCACTCGCCGTTCGTCTAAAAGCAGGTTGTAAAAAGCCGGAAACGACATGACAAAAGCTTCAATGGCACAGCAAAATAAAAATAAGCAATAAAATCTTTGGATATTACCAGGGCTACCACGTTTTCCAGTTGATGCTCATCCTGCTTCAAAACAGAGATTCTTTTAAGTTTTTAAGGTAACGTCGAACTTCATTAAAAAACTTACAAGATGAAGCGTTATCCGTTTTCCAGCCGTGTCGTCTTCCGTCTCATCAACGTTGCCTTTTACACGCGAGAAGAGGAATCCACTAAAAAATAAGATATACTGTAAAATAATCTAAATAGGAATGCTAAGCCAAATCGCACTAATGATAAAAACGAACCCCGTGAGCACCAGCGCAAGCCCCAGATAGTTGAGAATCGATGAAGCCGGTGGGTGCGCCTTCATGCCGAACAGACCGAAGCTAAAAACATATTTAGATGCAGATCAAGCACTCACCGACCGCCGGCCCATCCAACCAGACAATTCGTGGTATTCCAGAGGAGAATCGAGAGAGCCATGCCGAGTCTCGAGATGATCGGGATGGCCAGAGAGTTGCCGAGGGCCCACGAGAGGCCTCCTAACATGGCCAGCGGGTAGAAGCCGGGGAACGAGCGCAGACCCCAGCAGATCCAGCCAACCAGCACGATTGCCCCAGACATCACCCATTGCACGAAGAGGCCTGAAAAACACAAGAATCGTTAAATTTTTGATGGAATTCCGTCCATTTTTCCTGAATGCCTTTTGCTTTTAGGCTCCATATTTAACCCATATCTATCTAGTAACAGGACGTGGTGCTTTTTAATAGCCTTTTTAGTAGTTTTCGATGAATAAAACATAAAAAATTTCGAAAATTGAAGTTTTTACTCATTTTTGGCCACCTTCCATTGCACGAGAAGCCTGAAAATGCCGCGTAAGAATCAATAGTCATAATTCCGCTAACTCGAAGTCGTTTAATCAATTTATTATATATACCAGCCGATTACAGCCGCTTCGCGACTGCAATCGGCTGGACTTCGGGCCACCCTCCATATTCTACACCACCACATTTAATCCCTACCTTACGCTGATGCCTTCATGGCAATAACTACACTGATGGCTTCAGATACCTCCCTCTAGCCAACCCCCCCACAAAAACATAGCTACCTTCCCGATGGCTTCAGATACCCCTCCGGGTCGAAATTCCGTTAAAAATCTACCAAAATACCTCCCTGATGGCTTCAGATATCCCCCATGGCTGAAATCCCCTTCAAAAACTACTTAGATACCTCCCTGATGGCTTCAGATATCCCCCATGGCTGAAATCCCCTTCAAAAACTACCTAAATCCCCTTCCCGATGGCTTCAGATACCCCCATGGCTGAAATCCCCTTCAAAAACTACCTAAATACCTTCCTGATGGCTTCAGATACCCCCCATGGCTGAAATCCCCTTCAAAAACTACCTAAATCCCTTCCCGATGGCTTCAGATACCCCCATGGCTGAAATCCCTTCAAAAACTACCTAAATCCCTTCCCGATGGCTTCAGATACCCCATGGCTGAAATCCCTTCAAAAACTACCTAAATCCCTTCCCGATGGCTTAGATACCCCCATGGCTGAAATCCCCTTCAAAAACTACCTAAATCCCTTCCCGATGGCTTCAGATACCCCCCATGGCTGAAATCCCCTTCAAAAACTACCTAAATCCCTTCCCGATGGCTTCAGATACCCCCCATGGCTGAAATCCCCTTCAAAAACTACCTAAATCCCTTCCCGATGGCTTCAGATACCCCCATGGCTGAAATCCCTTCAAAAACTACCTAAATCCCTTCCCGATGGCTTCAGATACTTTAAATAATTTAAATAATTAATTAACATAATTAAAAAGTATTAAAAGTATTAAAGTAACTCAAAAAGGCATCTGGGCGCGCGAAGGGGCCTGGGGAAGAGGGGCGAAGAGAAAGGGGGCGTGGCCTCCCGGGGAGAGGGGCCCCACTCGTTTTATTAAGGCGCCACTTTCAAAGTTAATTTTAATAATTTAAACAAAAACTTTTTCGTAATTTTTTTATCAGTTTGGGGGTTTCTGACGGCGCTCTATCCGAATCCGAAGAGAGCTAAGCTCTAGCTCCTTTCCCCTTCGAGTTGAATTCGGCTTCACACAGACAGAGACCACAACAAAATTATTATAGTTGATAAAAAGTATTAAAAGTATTAAAGTAACTCAAAAAGGCATCTGGGCGCGCGAAGGGGCCTGGGGAAGAGGGGCGAAGAGAAAGGGGGCGTGGCCTCCCGGGGAGAGGGGCCCCCACTCGTTTTATTAAGGCGCCACTTTCAAAGTTAATTTTAATAATTTAAACAAAAACTTTTTCGTAATTTTTTTATCAGTTTGGGGGTTTCTGACGGCGCTCTATCCGAATCCGAAGAGAGCTAAGCTCTAGCTCCTTTCCCCTTCGAGTTGAATTCGGCTTCACACAGACAGAGACCACAACAAAATTATTATAGTTGATAATAATATTATAATTAAATTATTATTATATAATAATCAATTTTTAACGTTTTTGAAGAGCTATTTTGAAACGCAACGTGATATCAGCTATAACGACCGGTCGTAAATGGCCTAAATTTCAGACCCAGATCCTTTAAAAAAACCGATAAAACAAACCCACCATCGCCAGCATCAAACTTCTTGATTGGGACGAACATGGAGCCGAAGAAGAGCACCGAGACGCCGCAAGCGCCCAGCCCCATCAGGGCCGACATCTTGGCCCTGTTCGCTGAAACGCAAAAATAAACGCTAATCAAGAACTGAAAAAGACATAGAAAATTGAACACATGGACAGCCAGGAAAGCATTGTGATTTGTGAATTGGGGTCCCCGCTAAATTCTAGACAATGGCCGGGTACTGTCCAGCACGCAGACACCAGGCCCACGAT